GTTGCATGGTCTGAAGCCTCTTTCCCAGATCCCCTAGTAAGATCTTCACGCATATGACGAAAGTCCATTCTCCCTTTGTATCCTGAGGCGGAATTATTTGCAAAATGTCACCCTTTGCAGTAATGGCATTATTGATGTTGTTTGTTTCCCAGGAAACTAGGCAATGACAATATCTTTTCTAAAAGGTGTTGAAACAGTTGTCAACTTTTTGGGTTTTCTCCCGCCAAGTGCTGAGTTTGATTTAAAATCCCCATAATTTTGACTTATTTCTTTATTGTTTGACTTCTTAAATCCCCAAGTAAATATGGGATAATGTTTCTCTCTGAAAGTTGTTATCCCCATGTGCTTTCATAATTTCTCCCCAAGGAAGTTTGTGTAATATTCAATCTGGGTATTGAAGAATGTATTTTTGGCTCCCCTTAATGATGTGGTATTGTCCTTGTAATACGTTGGGTGAACTGACTTGGGTGTTTTGCGTTTGTTCAAAATATTTGCGGATAGCAAGAGTCGCCACCGTATTTTCTTTTATCCAAAAGGAAAGGTTGAAAAGAACAGGAAAGACCTTTCGAGATTATTTCTTGAGTTCGGGGGGTAGGTTATGAAAAGGGAAGGTATTCTCACCCTTTTCATTTGTAGTTATCTATGGGCTCTTAGTTGCTTGCTAGATCACTTGCTTTTGTTGGAAATTGTGCTTGTGGTGTGGGTTGTGAAAGTATTTTGAAAATGTCTTTGTAATGGTTCTAGTTTCTATAAGAATGCATACAAAGTGTTAGTTTTTGAAAATAGCTCAAAGAGGTGTTTATGGAATGTGTTTTTGAAATTGATTTTGAAAAGTGTCTTTGTAATAATTTTCGTATCTATAAGAATTCGTACAAAGAGTTTTATCTTTTGAAAATGTTTCAAATGAAAGTGTTGGTGTATAAAATGTTTTTGTTGTGAGCAAGCGGGCAACTAGGAGCATACTACCTACTCAAAAGGTCTAATATTCTTTTCCTCCTCCTTTAGATGTTGCTATCTTACCATTGATTTGGTAATAATCCCCATCATTGGATGTGAAGGGATGGGCATGGGACGTTTGTATGGTCATAGAAGGAAACCTATGGGACGTTTTAGAAATTTTCGTTTAGGGACTAGATCGTTTACCGAAGGCAACATTAAGGGTCATCGAGGTGATACAATCTTTTATCGAGGGTGTTTGCTAAAATGCCCATATTCGAGAGACATGACTATTTTTCCGAGGCAACAAGTGAGATTACCCTAGAGGTGCATGTGTGAATAGTGTGTTTGATTTGCATGCATTTAGTCTTTGATTTTTAGGTTGTCTGCTTGTTGTTTTTATCTTTCCATACATCCTAATTACTAACATTTGTATAAAAAAGAAATAAAAATGAAGAAAATAAATCCCACACTATTCAACCATATTGAGTAGTAAGAAAATGTAAAGACAAAACAAAATAAAGAAGGAATATGTGTAAGATTGCTTTATGGTGTGCCTGTGTAGGGCTGCCTTAGGAGATATATGAGAGGGAAGCCTGAGTAGGGCTGTTTCAGGATGATTCCATGTGAAACATCATCCAAGCCATTATGGGAGATAGTTCATTGTTGAGATTTGTTACTCCAATGGATGGTAGTCTCGTAATTATGGGAGATAGTTCATTGTTGAGATGTTACTCCGATGAATGATAGTCTCGTCATTATGGGAGATAGTTTGTCATTGAGATTCACTTTGATCTAAAGAAGTTCATTTGTTTCCAGTCATAAGTATTGATGTCAATCATTTGTAAACCACCCTTAATATTGGTATTTATCAGTATTATCTTACCTTTTCTATTCATTAAAAGTCGACATTAATTTTTTCTGCTATCTTCTCTATGAGCGGATAGTTTGCAGTTCATTGTCAAATTACTCCAATGGATGGCAAGTCTTTTCAATATGATAAAGACAGTTTATTGTGAAATCATTGCAAGTGGCAGTCTCTTTATTTGAGGCAGCTTGTATTTTATCCTTTTCAGGTGGAATGCCTTGGTTAAAGAAGAAGTTGAGACCCATTCTAGGTAAAACGCCATAATTTTAGGAAACTTGTTATTATTATTACGTTTTTCTTACCTTCAGTGAATGTTGGTAGTTTCACCTTCAGTAAAAGTTGGTGTTTTCTCTAGTTTTTCTACTTTCAGTGAAAGTTGGTAGTTTCACCTTCAGTAAATGTTGATGTTATTCTTTTATCTCTACCTTAAGCCATTTAGTCTGTAGTTTACCATCATCTGTGAGTCGGTATCTTTTGATCTTCTTCCTTTAACCATTGAGTTGGTAGCTTACTGTCATCTGTGAGTCGGTATATTATTGATCTCCTACCTTCAACCATTGAGTTGGTAGCTTACCGTCATCTGTGAGTCAGTACCTTTTGATCATCCACCTTCAACCATTAATTTGGTAGTTTACCATCATATGTGAGTCCGTATATTATTGATCTCCTAACTTCAACCATTGACTTGGTAGTCTACCGTAATTTGTGAGTCGGTATCTTATTTCTTATCTACCTTCATCCATTGAGTTTGTAGTTTACTATCCTCTGTTGATTTGGTAATATTCTATTTTTTCCTACCTTCATCTATTGAGTTGGTAGTTCAGAGTTATATGTTGATCGTTGTCATTCATTAATTTTTCCTTATTATTTGAGTTAATGATGCCTTATCTCCTCCTTGGGCTTTACCCCAGTAGAGTTGAGTCTTTTGTTCCCCAGATGTTTATTTTCCCGATCAAACTTTCTTTTGAACCTTTGTTTTATTTCCTGCTTCCCCAGTGGTGTCTCGTGTCACCTTTGAACTTGTTTGTTTGCATGCATGATAATAAGCATTTCATGGCATCTTAGGGCCAAAAATAGAGTTTATTTTATATTTAAGTATCTTTAATTGCGTTGACACAAAGATTGTAACCTTCTTATCTCCGGATATAAGACACTTAAATAAAGGCAGCTGTTGTACCCTAATTTTCCCCCTAAGATTCCTCTATCATCTCATACCATCACAATGCAACAAGATCACGCATTATGGTTTAGGTACTTCTTCTACAATGTCTTATCTTTTAGTTTTCTCTTGAGAGATCACTAAGTACCTTGAATCGTGGATCTTGTATATATGTGTTTTCTATTCTACTGACCTCTAACCAAAATCCAAAAAAATGTCTTGTTTATTTTGTTTCTTTAAGAAGACAAGGTTTCAGATCAAGAAACTCAGGTGATGGTTCTTTGATTAGGGTTGTGGTTTGTTCAGGGAAAAAATAGTTCCCAAAAGCATATGTTTCAATGTGGTGATCTATAATCTTAGGTCACGCTATCCTTAAGCTTTAGTCAGCATGATTAAGACAAGTTTGGTGGCTTAATTCTCAAGACTCTTCGAGATAGGTTCATGTGTCTATTTCCATGTCTTCTTCAACAGGGGATCTCAAATTATGACAAGTGTAAACATGGTTTAATCAATATTTCAACACCTCAAGTTCATATGTTATTAAGAAGGCCTCAGGTTATGGAAAACGATCAAGTTCGTGAGTTGATTCAAAGTCGTTGGACCAAAAGTCAATGTTTGCAAGTTTGAGTTCAAACGATCATAACTACTTCATTATTAAGTATTTATAAGTGATTCTTAGAGTATATGGATCTCCTTGATATCACCTCCAATTTCTCTTTTCAAGTCGAGAGCTAATTACGTGTAGAAGGCCATCAAAAGTATGAGTACATTAGAGGTCGTTTTGTGACTTTGACCTAAATTCACGTGACTTTCGTCCAACTTACAAGGATCATAATTCTTTCAATCTGTCATTTCGGGTTGATTCCTTTTTCAACGTGTCACAAATGGAATTATCTACAAATTTGGTTTAAGGGTTGAAGCCGAATTGTATTTAGAAGATCTTGAAATTTTTTGAAACTTCACGGATCATTTTCTTTGGTTTAGAAGTACCTTGACCATTTGAATTGCAAATCCACTAATTGTTTGTTACTTGTGAATTGAAGTTGTATTTTTTATTCAAAGTTCCTTTTGTTTAAGGCATGGTTACTCAAAGCTTTCAAGTCCTCTCAAGACATCATTTCAAGGTTCAAATTCAAGATACAAATTCTAGTCCACTTAGGATTATTTCTTCAAATATAAATTGCTTGAAAAATTTAAAGGCATTCATCTTAGTTATTTTAAGAGTCAAATTCAATAATCATTCAAGAAGCTACAAGGAACTGTTTTAGCGGTACATTTGTTTTCTCAAGATTTCAAGGTATATTCAAGTGAAGTGTTCAAGTTACTAAAGAATTCCAAGCTCATGTTTGGTTCAAGAATTCGATTCTATCTTCAACATACAAGAACAATTTCAAAATCAAAGTTACAATGCTTAATAATGTTTCAAGCTTCAAGTTCAATATTATTCAAAACTTTCAAGCATTACAAGGCATAATTCCAAGTGGAAATTCAAAATTTCAAGAAGCCAAATTTCATCCAAAGTTCTAATATATCTACAATTTATAGTTGTTGAGAATTTGAATTCAAATGTAAAAAATTACCAAGTATTAACCAAGTTCTACAAATTACACGTTTTATCCAAGAATTCAACCTAATCTTCCTATTGCCTAATGATTTCAACAATAAAAAAAGAAGATATTCAAGTCCTAAGCCTAAAACTTCAAGTTTCATATTACAAGCAATTTGGCATCATAGCCTTTTAAGTACACATTCTTTCAAGCTTCACGATATTGGTTTCGGATTCACCATTGTTCTTCAAGGTCTCGTCCTTTATGCAAGGCCAGGATCATTTAACAACACATGAAAAAAGAAAAGAAAGAAACATGGTTAGTAAGATAATCAAAATATGAGTAGAGAAGGAATTTTCAAGAAAGAGTTTTACAATCTCATCATTAGTGCTTGTTACAAGGAATCAGAAGTAGAGGGTTTAAATTTAATCATCCAACAAAAAGGCCTCATTCTTTTTTCTCACACTATAATCAGAATTTTAGTATCAATCATAGGCCCACAACTCCTATTGCAAATCATAGAAAATTTGTTTTTGGTTCACAAAAGGAGGTACAAAGAGTAAAGAAGTACAAACTGCAACAAGACAGCACAGTACAGAAAATCACAGCTCAGCCCAAAGCAATACATCAGAAAATTATGACAAAATGGAAACACGTCGGAAGCATATCAAAAATTACAAACGTATCAGAGCCCACAAAGATCTTCCCCAAACTTGCAACGTACGAATCCAGGCACAACATCAAAGCATTTAGTAAAAACATCAAGTTAGGAATCACATTCCATAACATGTTCACATCTCACAAATTTAACAAAGCGGAAAATCAGAAGCCCAACGGAGAATTTCAGTCAAGGCCTATTATCAATACAACCAAAACCCGAAATCCCTAGTAGTATAAGAACATTCAATTGACACAAATTTCAGGGAGACTGTTCACGATACAGAAACGGTGAATCCACAAAAACCCCATTTGTATTCATCATCTTCTTTTCAACAAACCCTTCAGAAAATTGAAAGAAAGAGAAAAAGATTTCAATCCATTGTTCATAAATTACCGAAGCTGCGCAAACTAGCTAAGCCCTAATCATCATCTTCCTTACACAAACCCTTCAGAATTGAAAATCGTGACAAAGAAGGAAGAAGAGAGATACCGTTACCGTCACGAGGCTAAGAGAGGAGAGGAAAGAGTTACTGAATACAGATATGTTGTTAAACCCTCATTCAAGCTTGAGAGAGTCTAATTTCACGTCCTGGAGTCCAGATCTCTCATCATTCTCACCAAAACATCGCGATCTAAGAGCTAGGGCTTCCAAACCCCCTTCAAGATCTAGGAGAAATCCTTCACTTCCTACAAAATCGAGTTCCAGATTAGAGAAGTGGAGAGAAAAGAGATTTAAGAGATGTAAAAAAAATTGAGATCGAAGCGTCTCCGCCGCGTGCGATTTCCGGCGAGAGAACAAGAACTGAAATAATGGATGGATGTTAATCTCTATTTCTTTTCTTTTATGTTTTAAATTTTTTATTAACATTGTTTTTATTGTTAATTGAATTTGTTTAACATTGCTAATCTGACGGTGACAAGTGTCACCACCCTTGTGGTTTTCTTTGTCAGTTCAATGCAGGTATCCTCATCATAACAAACATGTGTATCCCTTCATCATCCTCAGATATCTGCAAATCATGATCCAACGCCTCAGGAGGATATAGCTCACGGTGGACTCTTTGAATCTGTTAACACTAGATCAACGCAACCTCCTTGTTGGGCCTTGGGCACTCTTGCTTTTCAGCACCCCTTATTTGCTAGTTTCAGGCCCAATAAACTTTTCTTTATATTTTTTTCTTTTTATTATTGTTTTGTTTTATTTCTATCAAAAATTAAAATACAAATATATATATATATATATATATATATATATATATATATATATATATATATATATATATATATATATATATATATATATATATATATATATATATATATATATATATATATATATATATATATATATATATATATATATATATATATATATATATATATATATATATATATATATATATATATATATATATATATATATATATATATATATATATATATATATATATATATATATATATATATATATATATATATATATATTAAAATAATTAATTAGGTTGGAAAATAATATTTAATATAATTAATTATTTTGTTAATTAATTTTATTAAATGAGATGGTTTAATTTAATTGATTATTTAATTAATTTCGATTGGATTGTATTGTTGGTTTATTTAGACTTTCGGTTGTGTTATCAATTTGGTACATCCCCTCAATTGGGAGTTAGTTTTGGGACAAATTCTTCAATCTCATTGGATCTTGGGTGTTGATAGTTTAAAAAACTAAATCCACCAAAATGAATGAATGATATTGACGATATTTAAAACCCTAATTTCATAAAATGCATCCCCTCCCACTTCATGTCATCCTCTTCTCACTTGTACTACATGTTGTGGGAGAATAATCTACATAATATTTCTCCAAACATATGGTACATAGATTGCTATTGACTAGCCTCAAAATAGGTGTGACTTCTACATAAGTCCATTTACGATTGTTTAACATAGCGCTAAATTTTGTCCGGAATTGAGAAATGATCATTCGTGGCCCAAACATATGTTTGCAAGCCCAAGTATGTTTAATTTGAAAACTTTGATCCAATAAACTTAAGGTTCATTGGTAGGTGGCTTTGGTCTTATCAATCATCTAATGAATCTTCATAAATTTTGGACTAAGTGAATCATTTAAACGTCGTTGTTATTTATTGATGCCTCGAGATTTTAAAATGAATGATATACTTGACAAAAAGCAAATGAAACTTGTTGTTGAGAGGCTTTGATTTTATCAATCTTCTAATGAGTTTTAATATGCAAGTTTTAAGATGGTCATTCAAATAACCTCTAATTTCTAACCAGTTAACAAGTGACTTTTATTTTACGCATTTACTTTACGCCTTTAATTTTACTCACTATTTATTTTAGAATTTACATTTCATGCTATTTTCTTCTTTGCTCACTTGAGCATTTATCTTTATGTCTTTTTATTTTGTTAACTTGAGATTTTCATTTTCTTTTTGAAGATACTTAATAACCAACTTGAAAAATAAAAAGCTTCAATGTTACTTGGACTATTTGGTTACTATCCTTGGCATGATGGAGTTTTTGACTTCTTGGACTTAGGATTAGAGACCTTGACTACCTTGAGACCTTGTGACTTCTATTTTTATTTTGTCTGGAGTTCTTGGGGTTTACCCTGAGATATTGGGTTGTTTTTTTTCTTTGTGTGCAAGATATTCTGATTATGTGTTGTGTCCGCGATTGGGAATTCGTCTATATACATTCGTTACTCTGCCCAATTTTTGAGAAGACTAAATGCATTTGAAGCTTGGTTTTCTTAAGAGGTTTATTATCTTTACTTGTTTGGTTTCAATCCAAAGGATGAGAATTTTACATTGACACATTAATTCAAGTGTTGGCTTCTTGTTGGTTAGACGGGTCTTTTCCCTAACTTTTACCTTATGCTTTAAGATAGTCCCTTCATCTCCTCCCATCTTCTTTAATTTCAAAAAAATCTTCTCTCTCCTTTTCAAAACTATTCTTGTTTTATAACTTGAAGCGCTTTCGGAATAAACTTGATCTTAGTTCCATGCATTTTCAAAAATGTTTTGTTAATCAAACTTTTACCAACTTAATAATACTTTGACAATTTTATGAGAAGACTAAAAGTCAATCAATCTCATTCAAACTATATTGCAACTTTTACTTTTTACTTTAAAACTTTTCTCAAAAGATTAGACTTTTGTCAATCCTTGTAGTGATGCGAACTACTATACTTCTACGATATGTAGTGAAGTGAGACATTTTCCGCTTGAGTATTGAGCGAGACTTTGTTGATTTTAAAATCCAAGCCATATCCTTCAGTTTAGATGATCCAAATTCTCCTTTCTCATAGTCATGGGTAGTAAGTATGTTCTTCCACTCGGATAAGACGTTGATGTCTCGTCTCTTAAAATTAACCAACACACTTGTGTTTTAAAATTTTTAAAGGTGAACTACGAGTACCCTGATTCCCTATTACATGAAAGGTGGTACGTAGATACTAAAGGTTCGCAACCGCGGAGGGTGCAAAAATTGTAAAAAATACTTCTTTTATCATCCTCACAATCTATTTTTGTATACAACATTTATAGCCAAAATACACAGATTTTCAAAGAGGTTCCTGCGGAGTACGGTAGATGTTTAGGGTGTTAATACATTCCCTTTACATAACCAACCCCGAACTTAGATTCTCTCTCCCTTCTTTTGAATTATTCGTTTTTTTCTCAGTCCTTTGAAAATAATAAAGCGCGGTAGCGATTTTTATTTGATCTGCGCGAATTAAATCAATCCAATAACTTAATCTCAACATTTCTACCGCTACACCTAGCTACCGTATAAGTACCATCTTAATAGTTTTTACACCATGTGTCAATTTTACCTTCAAAGCCAACATCATGAAGACCACCGTCAATAAACATATTATTAATATGATTAATTAAGTTGATATCAATAGGGTTTCCCCCGATTTCCTCACTACCATAAGTGACAAGATTCATGTCTCCAAACATAATCTAATTAGTTATGTTATATCTTTAAGCGCTGTTATTAATCATGCTGCAAGTGACATATTATTTATTAGAGCTATAAATGCATGTACCCCTCCAAACAATATAATATCGTTAGAAATAGAGATGGCACATAAAAATCAATCATATTTTTATTGGAATCAAGAATATGCAAGTCAAGAGCATTGCTCCACATTAAGGATAAACCCTCCGCTTTCCCATTACTATTACTACTACAACCAATACTATGAATGTTAATTAAGGAACCAACTTTGCTAGGCATATTCAAAATTCTATCACTACTAGTCTTCTTAATTTCAGATAAAAAACGATATTAGACGAAAGAGAGCTTATTAGGTGTTTGAGGGATCTTTTTGTTTGAGGTTTTTTCAGACCGCTCACGTTCAAGGATAGGATTTTCATCTCTACCCTAATTGTTACAACATAAAAGAGCTTTTCTAATAAATTCAAATCAAATTTAAATATTTTTTATGCAGTACATCATTCTAATTTGCAGTAACTCAAAAAATTAGTAGAAGAAGAGTATGAAAATAAAAAAGTGTGAAAATATACTATTCTTCATTTTCGTCTTAAATGGAACTTGTAATGATGATTAGCGATGAAAATAAAAAAATGTAACAATATCCTATTCTCCATTTACGTCTTGAATGGAACTTGTAATGATGATTAGCGATGAAAATAAAAGATTGCGACAATATTCTCTTCTCCATTTACGTCTTAAATCGAACTTGTGATGATGATTAGCGATAAAAATATAAAATTATGGCAATATCCTATTCGCTATTTACGTCTTGAATGGAACTTGTGATAATAATTAGTGTTACATTGGCCACAGCCACACCATGCTGACATTGAATGAAATGGACAGTAAATTTTTTTCTATTTAGTCTGCTTGGATTTAGTTGAACCATGACGATATTGATTTAGTCACAGTCCATAAAGCATAACCTAACTACAATAAATAAGTCACTTTAAGTGGAACCTAAATGTTTTTAAATGTTTTTTATTTTAAAGTAGTTTTGCTATAATTTTTAAATATAAGTCATTTTAAGTTGAATTTAAAAAGAAAATATAGTATAAAACAATTTTATAAAGTTCAACAAAATAGATATAAATTTTATAATGTTATTGAAAGTTTTATTTCATAATAATTATAAATAAATTTTTAATTTTATTTAACACTATATATATAAGTGCAAAAAAAAAAATGAGAATCAAAACAAAACAAAGAAACTACTTTATATATATGATCTTAAATACAAAACATTCCAACATCAAAATATGATGTTAAAACAGATGTTACAATATCTGATAACAGACCACATCAATCAACTTATAAGTAATACAGAAAATAAAATTGGAGAACGATAAATAACACAATGAGTTGTTAATTCAGTTCGGTGCAATATCACCTACTCTAGGGGCTACCAAGTCAGGAAGGAAGTCAACTATCAACAATATTAGTTTAAAGCTAAATTTCTCTATTTACAACTTCTCGCCTAATCCCTACCCAATGCAACTTCTACCTAGGTCCTTCATAAATATGAGTAATTGTCATCCCTTTTCCTAAATCACCTCAGTGATATCTAATAGTTACAATCCCAGTAACTACAACAAAATACAACTCAATTTAGAAGTTTATAATTGTATTACAATAACTCAAACTATTTCTTAAAAGCTTCGAGTGAGAACAATACTCAACTCATTACCTAAAAGATTCTTTGTGAGGACAATAACTTGACTAACAGTCAAGTAATAATCCGCCAAACACATGGTATCTGAGGATTCATGGGTGACTTAAAAACTACAAAAGAGACTCTCAAAACTTAATACTTATGCTTCCCCTAATTTTATAATTGTT